ACTAGCGCTAACACCTCTCCAGAATCAACCCCCGTATTCAGGTTGAGCACACCATTACCGAAGAAGTCACTGGCATCGATATTGTTGCCGCACAGATTCAGATTGCCGCAGGTGCTTCCCTTGAGCAGCTGGGCCTGACTCAAGATCACATCTCTACTCGCGGTTTTGCCTTCCAATGCCGTATCACCACCGAAGATCCCGCTCAGAGTTTCGCGCCTGACACTGGAAAGATCGAGGTATACCGTTCCGCTGGTGGAAACGGTGTCCGGTACGTCGATAGCTATAAGCCTCAAATGCGTAGATGCAATGCTGACATTTACCTAGTCTCGACGGTGGTAACGGTTTCGCAGGAGCCATCATCACTCGTAAGTACACATTCACCCAGATACCTGGACCTGAGCTGACTATCTTGAAGCCCATTACGATTCCATGTTGGTAAAGTGCTCCTGCCGTGGTTCGACCTACGAAATCGTGCGCCGTAAGATGCTGCGTGCACTGGTCGAGTTCCGTATCCGTGGAGTCAAGACCAACATTCCTTTCTTGATCAAGCTTCTCACACACCCTACCTTCGTGGATGGCCAGTGCTGGACCACTTTCATCGACGATACCCCGGCTCTGTTCGATCTCATTGGATCCCAGAATCGTGCTCAGAAGCTGCTTGCCTATCTCGGTGACCTGGCTGTCAACGGCAGTCAGATCAAGGGTCAGATTGGTGAACCCAAGTTCAAGGGTGTTGTCCCAATTCCCGCCATCCACGACCACACTGGCAAGAAGGTCGATACCTCCGCTCCTTGCACCGAGGGTTGGAGGAACGTCATCTTGAAGGATGGTCCCGAGGGCTTTGCAAAGGCTGTGCGTGCCAACAAGGGCTGTCTCATCATGGACACCACCTGGCGTGATGCCCACCAGTCGCTCCTCGCTACTCGTGTCCGAACTGTTGACCTCCTCAACATTGCCAAGGAGACTAGCCATGCTTTCTCTAATGCCTGGGCTCTCGAGTGCTGGGGTGGCGCTACCTTTGACGTTGCCATGCGTTTCCTTTACGAGGACCCATGGGACCGCCTGAGGAAGATGAGGAAGCTTGTGCCCAACATTCCCTTCCAGATGCTTCTCCGTGGTGCCAACGGTGTTGCATACTCTTCCCTGCCCGACAACGCCATTTACCACTTCTGTGAGCAAGCCAAGAAGAACGGTGTCGACATCTTCCGTGTCTTTGACGCGCTGAACGATGTTGAGCAGCTCGAAGTCGGTGTCAAGGCTGTTCTCAAGGCTGGTGGTGTTGCCGAAGCGACAGTCTGCATCAGTGGTGACAGTAAGTGGTCATATTTTGAAACCAAATTAGACTATGCTAACTCTACATTTCAGTGTTGAACCCTAAGAAGAAGTACAATTTGGAGTACTACTTGGATGTCGTTGAGAAGATTGTCAAGATGGGCGCCCATATTCTTGGCATCAAGGACAGTAAGTCATATCGATTTACCGACTGTAAAACACGTACTAATTCGCACGTCAACAGTGGCTGGTGTACTCAAGCCTCGTGCTGCTCGCCTTTTGGTTGGTACTATCCGCAAGAAGTACCCCGACCTTCCTATCCACGTCCACACTCACGACTCTGCCGGTACCGGTGTGGCATCCATGGTTGCTTGCGCCGAGGCTGGTGCTGACGCCGTTGATGCCGCCATCGACAGCATGTCTGGTATGACTTCCCAACCCAGCGTTGGAGCCATCCTGGCATCTCTCGAGGGCACCGAGTTTGACGCCGGTCTGGACGCCCACATGATCCGCAACCTCGATGCCTACTGGGCTCAGCTCCGTCTTGTCTACTCACCCTTCGAGGCTGGTCTTACCGGACCCGACCCCGAGGTCTACGAGCATGAGATTCCCGGAGGTCAACTCACCAATCTCATTTTCCAGGCTGCTCAGCAGGGTCTTGGTGAGCAGTGGGCTCAGACCAAGAAGGCTTATGAGCAGGCCAACGACTTGCTTGGTGACATTGTCAAGGTCACTCCTACCTCCAAGGTTGTCGGTGACTTGGCCCAGTTTATGGTGTCCAACAAGCTTTCCTACGATGACGTTCTAGCCAAGGCTGAGCAACTTGACTTCCCGTCGTCAGTCCTGGAGTTCTTTGAGGGTCTCATGGGTCAGCCCTACGGCGGATTCCCAGAACCTCTTCGCACACAGGCTCTCCGTGGCCGCAGGAAGATGGACAAGCGCCCCGGTCTCTACCTTGAGCCCGTGGACATTGTCAAGATCAAGTCTGAGCTCAAGGCGAAGTGGGGAGATGCCACCGAGTGTGATGTTTCATCCCACATCATGTACCCCAAGGTCTTTGAGGACTACAAGAAATGGACTACCAAGTACGGAGATCTCTCTGTGCTGCCTACTCGGTACTTCTTGGCCCGTCCTGAGATTGGCGAGGAGTTCCACGTTGAGCTAGAGAAGGGTAAGGTACTCATTCTCAAGCTCTTGGCTATTGGTCCGCTCTCTGAGCAGACTGGTCTGCGTGAGGTCTTCTACGAGATGAACGGTGAGACCCGTGTCGTTACCGTTGAGGACCAGCACGCAGCCATTGAGAACGTTTCACGGCCGAAGGCTGATCCCACCGACAGCAGCCAGATTGGCTCGCCCATGTCTGGTGTCTTGGTTGAGGTGCGTGTTCACGATGGCAGCGATGTCAAGAAGGGTGACCCTGTTGCTATCCTGAGCGCCATGAAGATGGAGATGGTTATCTCAGCACCACACTCTGGAAAGGTTAGTGGACTGTCTGTACGCGAGGGCGACTCTGTCGACTCTGGCGACCTTGTATGCAAGCTGGTCAAGTAAACAAGGGATATGGAAAATGGAATATGTGACGATAAGAATGAAGACGATTAGATGAATACAAAAGCAAGGCGCATGGATGCCATTCATGATTGAAATTTTACAATGACCTAATGCCTGTGATGCAACGAGCTTGGTATGTGGCGATTGACAGTGAACTTGTTTCGAAGAGGTCAAATTTTGGTCTTAACAATTTCTGGTTGTCATTGAAAAGCACGAGAGAAAAAGATGCATATGTTTAGATAGTAGACGAAGTCGGACTTCGAGTGCACATTTGGATTTTATTTATTAGGTAAGAGATCGGTGGAGGGGACCTCATATCCCGATTTGACATGGAATCTGATTCGAGATGCCAAGAAAGCAGACGAATACTGCATTGATTATCTAAGCTATTGTTTGATAAGTGCTTTAAAAAAGGACGCCAGATGCAATGTCGCCATGGACGCCATGAAAATTGACTGGAAGAGAGAGAGATCTTGAATTTAGAATCATGTATGAGAGAAAGAGAGCGAGAGAGTGAGAGAGTGAGCTGCACCAGATCAACCCATGGATCCAAAATCCAGCTTCCTAGCCACCTTATCAGCGCGACCATTCGCAGGCGTCTCTCCCCCTCTCCGCTTCAAATCCTCACCCATAGCCTTGGTACCCCCGCCTTCCTTTGGCAGATTCTCCTTCTTAGTCGGACGCGGCGCATTAGTCCACCACTTATCCTCGAGCGCCTTCCTGGCCGTATACCTCTTCTGCGGATCCAGCGTCAACAGGCCCCTGATAAAATCGCACCCATCATCTCCGAGAGTGGGGAACTCTTGCTTCCACCAGCTACGGGGGCGGGTCTGTCTGAACGCGGTCGTACCCTGCGGCCCCGTCTGTTTATCGGGGGCGACGTAATAAGGTAAAGCGGTGACGCCCGGCCACGTCTCTTCCGTCGGGGTACCGAATTTCTCGCAGATGACGGCGACCTGGCGCATGTCCGTGTCGGAATACAGGAACCAGTCGCGCTTGCAGAGTTCGGCCATGAGAACACCTATGCTCCACATGTCTGCTGTGCCGCCGTAGTGCGAACAGCCGTAGAGAAGCTCGAGGGGCCGGTACATGCGCGTTATGACCATGGTGGTCATTTTGACGCCTGGATCCGCGAAGCTGCGTGCGAGACCGAAATCGGCGATTTTGATGGTGCCGTCTGCGGCGATGAGAGCGTTGCTGCCCTTGATATCGCGGTGGAGGACGAAGTTCTCGTGGCAGAACCATATGCCCTGGCAGAGCATATTCATCCAGGCCTTGATGTCTGCTTTTGTGTATGTAATCTCTTTATTTTTCCAGAGTTTCTCGAGGTCGCCGAGGGGCAGGTGCTCGAGGACTAGGGAGAGGTTTTGTTCTTTGGTAGAGAAGACGTCGTGCAGTTTAATGACGTTGGGGTGCGACATTTCGAAGAGGAATTGCATTTCGCGGATGGCGTCAGGCGCGATGCCGTTCGGGTATTCGGCGTTATATTTGATTTTCTTGATGGCGACAATGTGCTTGGGGTTGTCGCGGTAGTGCGCTTGGTATACGACGGCGTAGGTACCCTCTCCTAACCGTGGACCCATGACGAACTGGCTCCGTACCCGGTCGTTCATCTGTTCTGCGAGGTCCATGCCGCCATCACCGGCTACCGTGGCGGGCGCGGGTGGCGCTGGCGACTTGACGGGCTTGGTGGTGTGGCTTGGGAGGGCGAGCGTTCTCATCTTGCTCGCGGCAGACATGGCCGCACCGGGCGGATTAGGCCGTGGGCTGAGGACGACGGGCGATGCCATGGTGCGCTCGCGAGAAGGTCGCGATTGGGCCGGTGGAGTGTGCGTGTATGGATGTAGGTGGAGAGGCGTCAAGTAGACGTGGTAGAGGGTCGGGTGTTAGCAAAGGGCCCCAACCAGTATCATGAGAGAGGCGAGTCTGCCACCATCTCCGTGCCTTTGTTCTCCTTCTTCCTGCTGTCCTCCTCTTGTAGTGAATAGGTCAAGATAGTGAATAGATAAAGGGCGTGCATGGTTCTCTAGTCTCCACGGGCGCAGGTACCAGGTAAGGTATGGCGTAGTATGGCAGGGCAAGGCACGTCCCCGAACTTTTAGTCTTGGCCGCGGTTTTCAGCGGGGAGCTCGACCTCACCACCGCTGCACGTCGCAGCAGCAGCCATTGCACGCACCATGGCTACTTCTGCCCGAGGACCGCCAGGCACCGTCGCCAGCGAGGGTATTCCAAACAGAACGTAAGCTACCTACTCTACTTTTGTATCTACTCACTCACTCACGCCCATCCAGCCTCTATGTGCGCAATCTGCCCGACAAGCTCCAAAAGGATGACCTCAAAAGGAGCCTGTATATGCTCTTCGCCACATATGGAGTTATTCTCGACATTGTCGCCCTAAAGACCATGAAGATGCGCGGCCAGGCCCATGTCGTCTTCCGCGACGTCGACTCTTCGACTCAGGCGATGCGCGCTCTGCAAGGCTTCACGTTCTTTGGAAAAGACATGGTACGTCTGCTGCGAAGTTCCCTACCAGTCGTAATAGCTGACGCAGCTTAGAAAATTGCATACGCAAAGACAAAGTCGGATACCGTGGCCAAACTCGACGGAACCTACAAGATGCCCGAGCCAGAACGCGCAGAAGACGACCAGCAGGCGCCTGCACAGACATCAAGCTTTGGCGCTGTACCGGAAAAGGCAGTACCAGTCAACGCACAAGATGCAGCCAAGGGCCAGAAGCGGGCAAGGGAAGACGAGGAAGAGGAAGAAAATTCGGATGCCGAAATGGAGATGGACGTGAGCGATGAGGACTCGGACTAAAAGAACGATACGGTGCCTATAGAAGGATATGATACCCACGAGCAATGAAACAGAAATCCCAGCGAGAGGGCATTTGGACAAGATTTCGTCTGCACATAGTGGCTTCGAGTTTGTACGACGCCGCGCTGGAGCTAGCTTTGGTCGGTGCTGACTTGATGTAGAGGGGCATTATAACAAAAGACCATCCTAGCCTACGAGCCTGTAGACAGCCGACAAGGGCCATGCCTTACACCCAGCATAAGAGCAGTTTGGGCTCTGGCGCGTAGAATTTAGGGTCAATATAAGACATTACTAGGCCTGACCGCCCGATGATAGTTCTTTCGTAATAGTCATTTTGTCTCGGCAGCTGTTTCCTGAACCACAGTACAATAGTGGTCACTTCTTCGTTCTATCCTGAAAGCTCCTTTCGTATTTGCCATGTTTACTTCAGGGTCTTTCTCAAACCAGGGTTAGGTAGGTAGTTATCCAGTATATAAAGAACACAACACATCTCAACTTCACACTTCTTCTTCATCCACCACAGCTTGTAAGTGTTGCCCCCTCCCCTATTTTTAGCATTTTTATGAAAGCTGTGCGATCACCCAAAACAGGTACCAATAAGCAAACAACTCCCATGGATTCTGTAGCCCAAGGTTGGACCGATGTGAGGCCAGAGGCCGACGACTACCGCTTCCTACAGCGCTCCGATGAGCGCCGACAACTCTTTCAACATCTGAAGTCCCTCAACGCCCCCAGCCAGTTACGCACGGTATTCTGGGCGTTCTTCCAGGTCGCCGATATCGACGTTCTGCGAAGGGGTGTTGAGTCCGAGATGTTTGTAGAAACACTCGGATCTTTTGAAGTCAACTCGGATGTTGAAAGAAAAGTGGTAGACGCCCTCCTACTCTGGCGGCAGAAACGACCAGAGAAACAACCTACAGCAAATGCAACGCCGATCCACTCGTCATCGAAAGTTCCCTCCAACCAACCATCCTCGGCTCCCCCTCTCAATGCCAGCGTACTGGCCGGGTCCAAGCGAACTCGATCCGGACATATAACTGGCGGCCAGCAATGCAGTGTTACCCGGAACGATGGCGTTAAGTCAAACTGCAAGAGGCGGGATGGAAACCTTTGCGCGGTTTCGAGGATGGCGGAAATCGACGCCGCCCATATTTACCCATGGTGCGCCTTTGGAGGAGAAAATGAGGGGCGAGTCAGTCAATTTTGGAGTACGATGAGGATGTTTTGGAAGCGCGAGGTGGTGGAAGGCTGGCGAAAGAAGATATTTGTCGACGCCAATCATCCGCATCGAGGGACGGAGACAATCGAGAACATGGTCTCCTTATCGGCAACCCTGCACCGATTTCATTCGGCTGCTCGATTTGCGCTCCGACCGATACAACTGTCAGATGACAAGACACAACTCGAACTCGAGTTCCACTGGCTTGTTGTTGAAGAGCGCGATCGCCATGATAAGGTAGACATCATGGACGAACCTTTGTCTTCGGCCGGCCGGCGTTCAGCTGGACGGGGCTACGGCCCACTCGATCGGATCGATCCCGACGACGACAAATACCGGAAACCACTCGAAAGCGGAACCAGATTTGTGATGACGACCGATGACCCCGAGAAGCGACCCCTCCCGGATTCAGGCCTGTTGACCCTACAGTGGCACCTTCAACGTGTCCTTGCCATGACAGGAGCGGCTGAATGGAAGGAGGAGGAGTTCGGCGACGACGATGATGACGACAAGGACGGACCAGGCGTTACAACTTGCGATAACGTGGAAAGTTGGCTCCAGAACGTCGAGCCTCCGGAGAATCATCGTCCGAGCCAAAACTCACCTGCAAGCGATTCGGAAGACAGCACAGATGGTTCGTTTGAATAAACGATAGATCTGTCCAAGCATCTTTTATCAGACAACTCAAACTCTCTTCATATGCTCAACGGAACATATAGGAACCCCTCAGCATAAGCAAGCGAAACGTCGAGATTTGGGCCTTCCTTCTCCCCCGGTTTCGGATGGGGACCCCTTCGAACGCCCCGACTGCGCGAGCAAGATGGCCTTGACGACTTTGCCTCAACCCGGGCCCGCGGCCACGAAGTTGTCAAGCGACTTTTGCCGAGTCGGCGGTCAAGAAGATAAGGAGTCAAATCTGCGGCACGTGCAAGGGGTTCCGACATCCCATCAAAAATCCCGTCGGCGTAGCATATGAAGTAAGTCTTTGGGGTTGTTTGCTTACTGTGTACATGTTTTGTCTCGCGCGGGGTTTTTGGCTTCGGCTGTTTCCCCGTTAAAAAAAACGGGAGCCGAAACCCTACTCTTACCTCCCCGAGCCACGTCATCAGCTCACACTGATTGACGTGCGGTGGCTCCTGGAAACTAGTGTGGCTTGTACACCTAGGCTAACAAGAGAGGTGATGTTTATATTTTATGGGACTTCTGTGAGTTGGCGATCGTCACAAGCAGCCACTCGAATATGATGTACCACGCTCAATCAAAACCGACAGTGAACTGGATCTTTGCGGTACTGAGCCCCAGCTGGTAGCGTTCAAAACGTCGTTTTACTGAACACGAAGCCATTTCCATCTCCGTTTTCCATATGGAGCTCTCCGTCACAATAGAGAACACTATTGCAAATGGCCTATCTCCCAACACCAGCACCGACATCAAGTCCGACGCCATTTCCATCTCCATTTTCTATAGGGAGCTCTCCGTCACAATAGAGAACACTATTGCAAATGGCCTATCTCCCAACACTAGCACCAACATCAAGCCCAAAGCTATTAAGGTACAAATTCCTCATGCGCAACAGCCTAGCATTTCACCCCTCTTAGCTGTCGCTGCTCAGTCAAAACTAACAGTCAGACTAGGAGATCTCTGCGGTACTGAGGTACAAAATCCTAGTATGCGATAGCTTAGCATTTTGCCCCTCTTAGCTGTCGCTGCTGAGAGCAACTATTCACCTAAATCTATGATAGTTGGGCATCACCCGATTGCTCTTTGGACAGATGCTGCAGACACTTATGTTCCGCCCTCACACCGCGAGTCCCTTGTCCGCGACCCTTATGAAAGCCCGAACCGAAAGCTCGCGCTCGAGTTCAACCTCCGACTTAGTATCTTGGACAGTCAATTCAACGAAAAGCTCGATCAAGATGCAGCCGGAAAATTCCTAGCCACAAGAACATTTTGCTCTTCCACGGACCGCTGCATCTCTATGATTTGCCTTGAACACCAGCGTCATGACCAGAGTGTATCGTCCATGGCAATATGCGCCACAGCGCAGCGGCACCTTGAACAGCCAAGCGGGCTAAGCGACACGCCGAATAACTGGCCTACACCGAACGATCCCGAAACATGAAAAAGAATAGCGAAATTCCTAGAGAGCTTTTCAAGTATGTATAGAGCTATCCTAAACCTTGTTACTATTAGCTAACCCTCATGCTCTAGAACGACCTGGAAACATGGGGAAAGAGCGGTGATATTCCTAGAGAGCTAGACAAGCTTCTAGCCAGTAAGCTTTCCAAGTACAGCTCCTTGGGGGAGCTGGGCAAGTGTCTGGCTAGTGAGCTTTCCAAGTACATCTACATATAGAGCCATCTCAAACCTTCTTGGCGTCATCTGATATCTGGCACTTGAATCTTTTCTACCGGTGGTGTGTTAGCTCTAGGGTGTTACCAATCTACACACACATATATATATATATATTCCACTCACATCTTCTCCAAACTCCCCTTTTCCCCTTTATATCCATTTCCCACTACTACTACTATCACCACCACACACACACACCGCGCCTTTCACTCCTCCTCAACCTCAAACCCAACCCTCAGCCACAAACTACACCCCTGACACCCAACCAGCACCTCATTCTCCCCCCTCACCTGCGCATCTTCCAACTCGTCTTCCACAATCCGAAACCCCTTCTCGTCTCCACACCGACACCCCCTCGTCCACTCTACCCCCTGTCTTCCTCCCCTCGCATCTGCCGCCGCATGCTGGACTTCCTCGAAATCGCTCAAATCAACAAGTTCAAGACCAAGAATGAAGTCCTCGCTAATAATAGCCTGTGCTTGCTCCTGCGGAGTTATCCCTGAAGACGTCGTCGTCGTCGTTGTCGTCGTCGGGGTAGTCGAGAAACGCAGTGTATGCCGATTATGAAGGAACCAAGTGTTGTATTCCGCTCGTGTCTTGGGATCCGCGAGTATCGTGTAGGCTTCTTTTACGTCGTCGACTGTGTATGCGGGCTTCGACTTTGTAGTCAGAGTCGTAGTGGGAATGGCATCTCGTTTCTTCTTGTCTGGATGCGCTGCGAGTAGTGCTACTTTGTAGGCTCGTCGCAGGTCTGCTGCTGCTGCTGCTGTGGTCTTGTTGGCTTGGTTTGCGGGTTGGCGCCAGCCCGGTGCGTCGAGGCTCAGGATATGGTAGTAGTCTTTTGTGTAGGCCATGCTGCGCGACCACGACATGTGCGAATGTTTAATGGTAGATTGCGCTGCCCTCGAGGGGCCTTTCTCAGTGCTGCGTTTGCCATGTGTGACGCGACAAGCCTGGGACAGAAAAGTTGGGCGGGGGGGTACTTTGTTCGCTTGCTCGGTACTAGTGGTGGGGCGCGCCGTTCCACAGCATCGGGTACAGGTGCATGGCAACCTTGGAAAAGGACCGTTCAACAGCCCCTCCCCAAGATCGACAATGTAAATAAGTATAGTTATGCAACACAAATCACATGTTCTAACCCAGGCTGACAAAACTGTCCAAAGTAAGAAAGTCAAACATCACGGCTGAGCATTGCAAAAAGTCTTGAAGTAACGGCTTCTTTGGCTAGCTAAGAGTGCAGTATCATGACATTAAGCCCACCAGAGCGTTGCGTACTGCTCTGTCGGCCATCGAAGAAGATGTCCTGACTCCGAGTCCACCAAAAAGACGTCAAACATCTCTATCCACCATAGGATCGAGCTGTTCATAGGCTGCCAAAACGAAAACATGGGGGGGAATTGAGGGTCGCATCCGAGGAACCGAGCGCAGCCTTTTCTCGCCGATAGCAGCCCAAGCCCTCGCAGATGAGGGCATCAGAAGTGCTGCAATCGTTGTTTTGACACAAGATGTCAGCACACTGCGTGCTCGATAGGATAGCGCTGGCGATACAGGATATTTAAAGGGAAATACATTTCAGTCATGGGGGAATTCGACCGTACCGAACCGCTTGCTGCCAAAGCCAATTTTTGAAATCACACAGAACACGTACAACTCCGTAGGACGCTCGCTACCGGCCTCCTTCGTCTATTCGAAAACAGATGACGACGGCTGAGGATACACAAGGTCGAAGCAGGAAGAGTGCGCTTAAGCGGCAGCAGCAGGTGTCTCCTCAGGCTTGGCCTCGGTTGCAGCTGCTGCGTCCTCGGCGGGCTTAGCCTCGTCCTTGGGCGCGTCGGCAGCGGCACCCTCGCCCTCGTTGCCGTCTGATGACGTCCAGAGAGTGAGGTTGTCACGGAGGAGCTGCATAATGAGGGTGCTGTCGCGGTAAGACTCCTCAGAGAGCGAGTCGAGCTCGGCAATGGCGTCGTCGAAAGCCTGCTTGGCAAGGTGGCAAGCACGGTCGGGCGAGTTCAGGATCTCGTAGTAGAAGACCGAGAAGTTCAGGGCAAGGCCGAGACGAATGGGGTGCGTGGGTGTAAGCTCAGTCTGGGCAACATCGGTGGCCGTCTGAAGCATAGTTAGCAATCTCCTGGTTTTTAGCGCGATGCAATGATTGCGTCATACCTTGTAGGCCTCGTGTGCAGCAGTGGCGGCAACCTTGCGCTTCTCACCGGAAGCGAATTCAGCAAGGTAGCGGTGGTAGTCTCCCTTCCTGTCCCGTTGTTAGCCCAGTTTGCGGTGGATGTGGCGGAGTTTTGCACGCACATCTTGTGGTAGAAGACCTTGGACTCGCCGGACTCGGCCTTGGGGATGAGGGAGTCGTCGAGGACGTTGAGGACATCCTGGCAAACCTGCTCAAGCTCGGTCTCGATCTTCTGGCGGTAGTCACGGATGGTGCCAACGTGCTTCTCGGTGCCCTTGGACTCTTCCTTTTGCTCGATCGAGGAGATGATGCGCCATGACGCACGTCGGGTACCAACGACGTTCTTGTAGGCGACGGACAGAAGGTTGCGCTCGTCAACGGTGAGTTCACCGGCGACCTAGGGGTGGGTTAGTACACATTAATAGGGGAGCTTGCAACTGGCTGCTGGCGGTTGGAGCCTGGCCAGCCGTGTGCAGGCGGATGCGGTCGGGCATACCTTAGCGACTTCCTGCGCGATAGTTAGCATGCGAGGGGGGTTGAGCAAGAGTGGCTGGCGTATTGACTGACCTTCATGTACGTAACCATCTCTGCAAACAGACGTCGTCAGCACATTGCGCGGGACTCAGCTGAGGGCGCGCAGGACTTACCATCGTAGCGCTCAGCCTGTTCGCACAGCCGGGCGAGGAAAGTCTTGCTGTTGCGACGTCAATTACTGCAGGGAGTGGTGGGGGGCAAGCCTATCGTACCTCTCACGCTATTTGCAAGAGTCTTGTTAGCCGGTGTTGCATGTATACAAGTGTGCGTGCGTATGCGTGTGGTCTATCGGGGAGCCAGAGGGGCATCCCGCGGCGGACAACAGCGGGGGGGGGAAGTGGGAGAGGATAGGATGGGGCAGACATACCTCAGTCGCCATTGTTACGGAGTATCTGGAGGGAGTGGATGGGGTGGTTGTGGTGGTTGAGTGCGGGGTGGGGGTTGCAGATGGGCTACGGAAGGATAGACGGTGGATGGAGTTGTTGAGGTGTTTGTGTGGATCAATGAACAGAAGAGGATCGAAGTTGTTTTGAGGAAGCGAGCGTCTGCCCTAAGAGAGTCCCGGGGGGCCGTGCGTAAAACGAACAACACCACCCCGTCGCCAGCGCCTTCCCCCAATGGGCGGCTGGGACGCTGGGACGAGTCTATTCACATGCCCGCCTGCCCCGTTCGCGCCGTTGGCATGCGGTGTACCTGCTAGGCTGACATCCTGTACGTACCTATCCACACATGTGCACTCCCACACGCCCCTTTTTGCCATGTCGTTCCCCTATTCTTTCAGGATACTTGTTGCTGCTGCCTCTGCTACTACCACTGCTGAGGCTGTGCGCGACAACTCAAGGAGCTGGCAATGAGGGGTACATGGGGGGGCACGTGAGCATTCAGGGTCTATCCACCCACCCCCCCCAAAGACAACACCCACCACCAGCGCCCATAGCCCTGCCCAATCTCCCAAACCCCCATGGCGGCGCTGGCAGGCTTTGCTCGCTGTCCACCCGTCAGCCTGTAGTCATTGCCGCCCAGCAGTCACGCGAGGCGGGCGTGGGAGGGCGGCGGCCAGCGAAGGAGAGAGAGAGAGAGGCTGACTCCTACGCTGCCGTCCCATGTTCAAGTGGGGGCCAATCAGTGCTCCTTGGAAACAGCTAGAAAACTTGGACGGCTCCTCTTGCGTGGAGCTGCTCTGCTTGCCCCATGATTCGTGTCGCGCTGTGGGCAGAGACTACCTCCGGTGCTTACATACCACTACCTACCAACTATGTACATATGTATACTTTACATACACATGCACATTTACACACACTGCACCTTGACATGAGAGGCACTTGCCATGCCCTCCACTGCCAACTCACAACACGAAGAAGAAGAAGAGAAGAAAAAACAATTACATACACACACGGCACGCACATTTTGCCTGAATCCCCAGCAACCACTTGTGCATTAAAAAACTTGTGTGCTGACACCGTCTTTGCCGCATGCCACATATGCATTCCACAATCCCCCCCTTCCCACAACCCGGGCTCTGGCTGGTCCGCGCGGTATAATATGCCGTCGCGGCCCGCTACCAGAGCCTTTCGCCCGTGGACACGCCTAGCAGCCAGCAGCATTGACCGACACCCTCTAGTAGTTGCACGGGTCTCGGCTGCGCAGGGACATGTTCGTGCCCTTTGACCTCTTGTAGCCCTCCCGGAGCGATTCGTGTCTGATCCAGACTGCTGACCGACCTTTTGTCCATCCCATGTATCATATCTATCTGTCCAATCAACCATTCAATCACATCGCCTCCCTCTATCCGCCCACCAACCCGTTTGTTGCAATCACATCAACAATCGCCACACTCCCAGCATCAGCGCCGCCGTACCCGTACACACGCCCATCAGCCACTGCAGAGTCGAGAACTTGACGGCTTCGAGCCTCTCCCGGAGCTGTGCTGTTTCCTGCTCGATCCTCGTGTCCGTCTCCTTCAGCTTGAGCTCCTGCACATTGGCCTCCTCGCGAATTCGCCCCTTCTCTAGATTCAAGTCCAACCTGACCGATGCCTGAGTCCTCTGTATCTCGTCCCGTAGTCGTGAGTTCAGCTTCGCAAGTTCGTTGGTGAGCCTCTCGTGTGATGCCCGTGTAAGACTGGATTCGGTCGAGTCGGCCGTCATGAGTTCGGAGCGCAGCTTTGCAAAATCAACCTTTTGCGTGTATGTAGCCTTTTCCTGGTCCTCGCGCAGCACCATGGTACGTGTGAGATTTTGTATGCTGCACAACGTCAGTTTACGCCAGCCTGGAATCCTCTATACTTGTCCCACACTCACCTCTCCTCAATCACGTCACTGAGCACCCTCATCATCCCCTCAGCCTGCTCTTCTGTGAAACCCTCCTCTTTCAGCCGCTGCACAAACTTGAGCGTGTCGAAATGGTGGTCCTTGGCCTGCTTCGCCGATGCGCTGAAGCTGCGCTGAAGCTCCAGAGCAGATCCATGCCCGCTTGTGCGTTGTGACCACCTTTGCTGCTGCCATTGTCTTGTTCCTGCTGTCTGAAGAGGCGAGAGCTTCGAAAGTGGCATGCGACCCTCCGACGCCGCCCAACAAGATCCATGTCGCCTTGCTTCTATTGTGCTCTGCGCTGCAGGCCACGAGCTACTTGCAGACCATTGAAGCCGAGGTGCAAGAAATCGCGGAATCGCCGCAGCCGATACTGAGGGCGCTGCCATTGTGCCGATGTTGTAGTTCCTACATCGTCGCGCTGTCGAGAAATTGGAAGCCGCCCGCGGGTAGCCAAGCCTCGCAGACATTAATGGATTTGCCGAATTCGGCATACCATTCCATCGCCCTCACTAATAAACCCACCCTGCAGCACCGTGCTTGCTCACTATGCATCGTTACTTGTTTTTTTGTCATTCTATTGTATATTCATTAGAATTTCTTCAAAGCACATGTTCCCAAAGCCATGATCAACGCTTGCTATGCATGCCTACTATTAAACACAGAAGTACACAAACAAAACAATCACCACCTCCTTGTCTATCTTCCGTATTCCAGGCTCGGTACAATCACTGGCCCATACTTCATCGGTGCGCTATATCCACCGTCATTCTGCACCATGAAGTCAACCGCCAGACTTAACTTGCCCCCGCTGTGACCAGGAATGCCTTGTCCAAACGTCCCATTCACAACGTCAGGATCGTATATCACACACGCCACATAGTTTCTTCGACCCATCAGTCGCTTATACTCCCGTGGCTGTCCATTGACGTCCTGTGTAAAAATTTCCATCATGTCCTCCTTTGTGTCCGAAGGCTGATTATTGCTGCGATGTCCATTCTGTGGTACGTAGAGCGCACGGTTGTTGTGTAGAAGTCGCAGGACATAGTTGCTGGGCGGTGCGTTCACGACTGAAGACGAGATGATCTGGTACATGGTCTTGTGGTCCTGGGGTCTTGAAGGGTCATGAACCAGACCAGCACCACAGCAGTCAACACCGCCAGAGAAGAACGTCATCCGCAACGACTTGTTGTGAGCAATGCCTTGTAGTGTCCGGATCAGATATGTCCGCTCAAGGTCCTGGATCTTGTTAGCATGTTATTTGAAATCACCTGGCCTTTACGAACCTTTGAATCGTGCGTCCACTGATCTCTCAATTCATCGAGCAAATCAATCTCTCCAAACGGACTCAAGACACCACTCATCAGCCCAGACTTGCCGATAGCCTTCTTGACTGAGTTGAAACCATCTCCGACAACGCTCTTAGCGCCAACAACACCAGCCACTCCAGCAGTCACCTTTCCAAGCATGTTAAAAGTACCAGTGACAGCCTTCTTGCCCGTAGCCATCGAGTGCGCAAGATGCTCAACAGACTCAAGGCGGGGATATACAATTGGAACAGGAATCATCCAGATACAATGTTGCACACTCGGCGGTAGCGTTGCAACCTTGGGGAAGATGCCCTGATACGTTGGTCCTGCCATGACTTGATGCGGGTTGCGTTCTGAGCGGCAGTCTGGGCCGACAACCGTAACACAAGGACCAAGATACTTGATAAAGTGCCAACCTGTGCCGGTGATTGTGAAAAGGTCCATGTCGTTGTTTACATTCCGGAGTATTTCGAGTGTTGTGTGGTGCTGGAAGAGCAAGTACATTTCAATACCCAATCTTCCAATGTTCTTGAACATGTTGGAGAACTGCATATATTCAGGATACGACCCGAAGCCATCAAAGCTGCAAATCGTTAGTATCTAGATAGTTCAAGAAGTTAACAAGAGCTTACATGTCGTGGTCATCAAGAGCTAGGATGTGGGGAATTTGAGCGAATGCCTCTCGGAGATGTGGCTGATCAAAATGGCTAGTGTAATAGTGGAAGTATGCATGGCAAACGTCTTCCTCGTGCTTTGCGGTCCACGCTGCGTTCTTCCGGACCTCTTTACCACTTGTTGATGTCCATTGCTTCAACAGCGGAAGCTCTTTCCACAGACGGTCAGCATAAATCTGGCCACCCAGACCCAGTTGGACATGGAAGCCACCGCACTCGGCATTCTTTTGCAGAATGTCCTTCCACATCAACCCAACCCCACCGAGTCTTGCTCTCTCATTGGCGTTAACATTGAGCGCGAAATCGTTTCCTGAATGAGCAATAAATCGCCAGCTGGTCTCATGTCGCCCAGCTACCAAGAACTCAAATCGGGTGCAACCCAAGTGTGATGTGATTGCGTAGGTCCACTTAGCTGCACGGTCATCTTCCATCTTCAAGTCAATATCGTATCTGTAGAAGATCCATGTTTGGTGCGTGTAAATGGGGTTGGCCTTGAGCTGTCGTGGGTTGGGCGACAGGTCTGTACTCTGGTGGATATGAATTGTAGGAGGATGGGGGGTATTGGTAATAAGGAGAATTGATCCCAGCCACAGCCCTCGTTCAACGTCCATGTTTGTATACCTTAGGTACGGTCCAAAGTATACGCCATTGGTAGGAGCTACTTTGTACTGGTCTACACCTGCAGCAGGAGGTGGTCCAGTGAAACCTGTGGTAGTTGGAGTTGCAAGGGGTGCCATGCCAAAGTCTCCAGGGAAGGTAGCCGTCTGGGGAGCAAAGCCAGGTGACGCCATAGGAGTCTTTCCAAAAGACGGGGATGCTAAAGGACCACCGACAAACGTGCCTGTAGGCGACATGGGCTCGTTCAGATTGAGAGGCGTGGGTCCCTTGGGGAACTCCCATTGTGTAGATTGGGTGGGAAGATGGATGTAGTAGTACTGACCAGAGTTGGGGTCGAGATGTGCTATCCAACCCTCAGGTAACGGCGGGGGAGATGCTGGCCCTGGTCCTGGCCCTTGGGCTGGAGCCGGGCTTGGCGTATGAGCTGGTTGAGCCGGTTGAGCCTGTGGCGGGAACTGGTTCTGTGTGGGTGTTGGGGCTACTACCGCTGCTGCGGGTTGCGATGGTCCAGCCTGCTGGCGCGCATCGTTTGCGAATGCAGGGTGACCCTGGTTGGGATCAGCCAGCGCCACGCCTTGAGCAGCTGGCTGCTGTCCTTTCTCGTTCGGATAGCTGTGGGCTTGGCCAGTTGGCGGGGTCGTTATGCTCGAGTAGGCTGGCGGTGGTTCCTCGTTCAAGTTCATGCGGCCCATATCCTGGCTCAGAGGATGATCTGGGGATGCATTTGTCTGAGATGCATTTGCAGGAGGGGGCGAGAAGCGAGTGTTTGGCGCTTGCGGAAGAGGACCCTGGGGAGGCGTGCCTGATGGCGGTACCTGATCCATACCTTGGTACACTGCCGGTGGACCATGCGGCATGTTGCCTGGCTGTTCGGTGGGAGTCCACGGTCTTCTTATGGGCTGTTGGTTGGCATAGACCTGATTTCGCTGGGCGGCTGCTGCATTATGGGCACTTTGGGCTTGCAGATTGGTGAGGGTTGAAGTTCCTGCGATGCCTGCCGCAGCAAAACGCGCTTCAATGCCGCCTCCGGAAGGTGGGATGATGGGTGTCTCTGGAGGGGGAGGCGAGCCCCGCTGCGCCCTTACTGTCGAAGTTGAAGCCGTGGAACTTAGGCGGTTGACACCGACTGGTGTGGGCACTTTGAGCGCAGGCTCGTCCTGGTTGGGACCTGTGTAGACGACATTATTCTGTGCAGGTTGTGACGAAGACTGTGCACTCGGAGGGGGAAAGTATTGCTGGTGGTACTCGGGATATGGGTTGCTGTTGGCGGGTGGATCTCCGGTGTGCTGCCTCTGAGGCGCCTTCTGGAACAACCCCTCCTTGTCGGGTGCATCTGGACCGGGTGAGTCTGGAAGGGGTTTTGGCGCAGTTCCTCGTCGCTCTGCGAGTCTCGAGGGCTGGACTGAGCCGTCTGGGTGCCTGCCAGCGTAACCACCTATCGTCGGCCTGTTTGGGTCGTTCGCATCGAAGCGAGCGCGCTGGCCGGGCGAAGTGGGACTGGGCCCGGTCGCATTCGACCCTCTCCTCGGTTCTTCTCTTCCTTCAGCAGGCGTCGTATTTGCGCTCCGTCTCTCACGCTCGCTGAGAGGTGTATATCTTCCGGTGCCGAGGGTAGGCTGAACATTGGGTGGGCGGTCATTGTCCGGGTAAGGGAGAGGGGCAGTGGGAGGACTCGAGGGTGGTGCGGGGAACGAGGGCATAGGCGGCGGGCGCGAGAATGCGGGCTGGCTTGAGCTGCCCGCAGAATCTGTTCGCGGCGGCGGGCTTTTGCCATCGCGACCTTTCTGTATCCTCAGGGGCCCGACTGTAGGGATGATGGGTGTCTCCGGGTTGGTGTCGTATCGCAAGAAGAGCTCCTCCTCGGGACGGCCCTGCTTGCGCCCGTCCATGGTTTTGGGAGGGCTTCTGGATATCCTTGGGCGCGCGTTCCTGGATCGCCGGCGATGACAGGCGTAGGCTTATTTTTGGCGACGGGCGCTGACAGCTCGACGTGCGCAAGGAGCCGGAGGGAGGGTGGGCGGAGGGCTGCTGGTGGGGTAGTGGCGCGAGGCCTTGTGGCTGGTGGCTGGTGGCTCGATATGACGTTGCGACGCGGGCGAGGGGCACCAGCAGTCCAGGAGTCGTGCATGCGCAGTCTTCCGGGCCGGCCAAGTTTTATAGGAAAAGGAGATGCGGATGGCACAAGATACGCCCCCCCTTCCTGCCTGTGCCTACGCGATGCTGCTGACTTACGTAGGCCAGTTGCCCACACACAGCCTTCCCGCAAGTTGGGCTGCGGCGGGTCTTGCTCTACAGCACCACCCTGGCCGTAGGAGGCGCCCGCCCATGTGATTGGATGCGACGAACATTTACGCGCTGCGGCCGGATTGGAGACCGCTGGTCACACTTGGCGGGCGCATGCGACCTGCTTTCTGTACCTGAGTGGCACACGCTACCACCCGCCCTCTGCCAATCACGCTCGCTGCATCGCTTGCCATGTCTGTGGCTGGTGGCAGCCACTATGCCCTCGAGATCACCATCGCAAAGCGGGCCGCGAACTACTTCATGCACCCCTGCTGCGGGCCGATACTCTCAAGCCTCCCGCGACATGGCCAAATATGGAACTCCTGCGTAATATGTAGTATGTATGCGTGCTCCATCTTCATTCATTCATTTGTATCCTACCAGAAACATGTAGACGGCTGGTAGCACTCGGAGCACCATCCTCCCTGCTGTGAAACCAACCCCGGCCACACATCCCTCACTACTCTAGCTATCTTCATCGCACAGGTCTGAGCACCTCCCAATCCCTCATATTCTGCATGTCCTCGGGCTCATCGTCCATCAAGCTCCTCCCACCCATACCAGTTCGTCCACCTCCGTTAGTGTTTGTCCGCGGAGGCAGAGCCGGCTTATGATCATCGTCGTCAATCAAGTTTTGTATCGGTTTCCGTGCAAGGTTAGGAGGAGGTGCCATTGATCGCTTCACTGGTGGTGGAGGATACGTCCTCAATTCCTCCGTTGGCGGATCATCACGGTATCTTTGAAGCGGCGGGGTCGGTGAAGTTCGTGTAGAAGATGATTTGGTAAGAAGAGCCGGTTTCTTGTTCGGAATTGGCGGAGCGGGTTTACGGAGTACCTGTGGTTTGCTGCTACCGGAAGGTTGGCTTTGGAGCGGCATGTTTGAGGCCCGGTAGGGTAGAGTGGGTAAAGAGTGTGTTGAAGCTCCTGAGCCGGACCGTCGAAGATCATTCAACCCGTTTCGCGAGCCTTCTGGGCCAAGGATCTGCTGTGCATGGCCCGGATACAGCGGTGCAATCATCTTGCGTGCCGTTGGCTTCTGCGTTGCTGCTGAGTTTGTCGACGATATCGGATCGTTGAAGTCAACTGTGCGTGCCCTTTGCGAGCCGCGTGCTGGTGGTGGCTCTGGTCTGCTACGACTGTTCTGCAATTGCTTGATATCCACCCAATCTGGTTCTGGGCTGGGGGTGAAAGGGTTGCTGGGTCTGTTCGGATTGGGCAAAAGATCGCTAGATGGCGGCTGGACGCGCGCTTTTGCTGGGAGACCTTTGGAAAATGAGCATCCATGCTACAGCAGAGAAGAGGGCAAAAGTACCATTGTCAAGCCACCATTTCCTCCGATCGGAACTTGCCGGTGGTAGCCCTGGCTCTATACTGTCGTATCCAAGCAAATCTTCATCGTCTGTTTCATCTTCCCCTAGATGGTCAGCTGCCCTGGTGTCGCCAACAAACTCCCTTCGCTGTCTATACAGAGCCGCTTTCAGGCTCTCTTTCTTCTTTTCGTCAACTCTTTGCACCAAAACTTGGAACGTCGCATAGACTGGTCGATGATCAGAAAATCGAAGGGGCGCGTCGTTGTAGTGTATCTGTCGAATATTGTCGCCTTTGCGAAGAACACGGTCGCACCATGCAGGTATGCGTGCCTTCTCTGACGTATCATACTGATCACTATTAAGATCGTACTTGTACGTGGGTGGGAAGGTAATGCGCGCTTCCGAATAGTAAGGGAAGGTTAAACCTGCGACCATCTGCAAGTTGAGCTAGGGCGTGTCAGCAGCGATAATTAATGTGAAAGCTAAACAACCTACCTGGTCGTTCTCATATAACGTCTCAAGGTCGCCGACATGACACAATTTCTTCACCTTCTCATTACTCAGACCTATCCGGTAGTTGAAGTCACCAAGCCATATCACGGTATCATGGTCGTCGATTGATCTGTTTCTCTGAAATCGCAATCCGTGGCTGATTGTCTTGTAGTCGCGGTTGCGCTCTTCGTAGTTGGCAAAACCAGCTGCAAGATGTGCAGTGACGAGGCAGATTGAGGTATTGGCGTATTCGAAGCGGATTGCCACAGCGCCTTTGTTGCCAGCCATTCCAGACATACCGGTCTAACAAGTTGGTTAGTATTCTAATACCACAAATGGAATATCTGTGTCTACCTTCTTCAAAGCACCCTCAACATTCTTGATGTGCTTTAGACAGTCTGACCGGACAAAAACTGACAGGCTTGCCCCGACTAGCTGCCCGCCCCTGAGCATGACATATTCATCCTTGCCGTGTCTCTCAGCGTTTCTGTTCAGACACGCCCTTACGGCCTCTTCCCAAGCCTCTCGTCGATCTGGATCTGTCGACATAATCTGCTGCGGGCTCAACTCAACTATTTCTTGGAATCCCACAGCTACTATCTCAGGGCACTGCTGCGAAGAATCAACATCAGGACACAGCCATGGCGACAGATCACTTCTGATACCATCCGTCTTTCCGTTTAGGTTGAATGTCCCGACAAGTATGTTGATCATCTCGGTTTCTGAGTACTCTACGGACCGCCTTGCAAGCTCAGTGACAACAAAGTCGTTTATTGGGTCGTAAAGATGCACTGGCACTTGGCCAATGAGTCGTCCGAGCAGCATGTCGATTGTGTTTTGCCGCCCCTTATCAGCAAAGTTATTGATGTACATTCGCGTGGCGCTTTTCCGAGCATCTGCAAGAGCACCGGCAAGCGACATCTTTCCAGATCGCGTAAAAGAAGACTTCAAAGCGCCGGTGCCGGCATAAATCTTGGATAGAGCATCGCCGTTGTCTGCCCACATGCTCGAATGTCTGGCCCAGAAGTCTTGACTGGCTCTGAGGCCTTTATGGCTCAAGAACAATTCAAGCGCCATCTTGCTGATGATGGTTTGGACAAGATTTGTGCGATCGAGACAATCTAGACAGTTCGTTCTAAAAATTCCCTCTTGCTGCAATATGGTCATGGTCCGCCGAACAAGATAGTCTTGCCCGTTGTGTCTCGTTTGCTCTTCTACCTCTTCAGAAAGGTAGTATCCAAAGCCTTCTGCAGAATCTTGGATCCATCTGGCGATCATGCTGGCCATCTCGTACCCACCTGGACCACGTGTCTCGGCATGGAAATCGTATTCGGTAAGCTTGATGAGATCGTGTTCATGTTGAGCGGGATCATGCCCATGGTTCAGCGGGCTGTTGCGGATATGACCACGATATCTATATGACAACTCTAGCTCATTCTGCTTTTCATTGCTCAGCAAATTGACTACGTGTATCGTGCCATAGCTCAGCTCTAGGTTTTCAAAGTGCTTATCAAAAGCCGGCTGGGTGGCTTCTGGAGATCGCGTGATGGTGATCTTCTGTTGATTGGGCAAAAGGCCAGCTTGTTGCTCCCAAAAGATAGGCACACTTCCTCGCACTTGTACGTACGAGAAGCAAGCTCCTGATGGAGCCCAATGGATGGTTTCAGTCTCAACAAAGTTCGCGACGTTTCCGTCGTCGTCGATGCCTCGTGAGTTGAACCTGGTACCAGCCCTTTTGCATGATAGTCTAGAAATAAGGGTCATGGAAGAAGGCATACCCGAGTCCTGGACCCTGATGGGTGCTGAGGCCTTGGGAATTGTAATCGTCAGCGCGAAACCGCGAATCGCTGATGTCAGGATTCCCGATGCGTCCAGCGCCTCTTTGTCCCTCGATGCGAGCCTACTCCTGAAGTCTACCAGTGGCTGTATCATGTATGAATTCCACAGAAATCCGGCATCCAGGCTGTCGATAGAGACGGTGGTGGCGTCCGTAGTACGATCTTGCAGCCGCCTGGTAAGGTCAAAGTCTGAGCTGTAATAGAAGGTTCCGCTGCTGAGAATCTTCTTGAGCGCCAGACACGGGTGCTCCGTCGGGCTCTGTTCTTTCCTGCCCCCAAACCCCATTTCATATCCCTCATCGTCTATTGTATCGGTAGGGTAGGGGTTGACTTCATTGTCAAGCAGCATGTCATAGCTGGTGCTGGTCAGGCAGTAGAAGCCGACAGAATGTATTCGTTGCACGGTCTCGCCCGGCCGTACGGTCGCAACTTTGCTTGCGCCGTTGACTACAATCAAGAAGACATTGTTGTCCACGGTAATCAGCCCCAGGGTACCATGTACGTTGACTGAGTTTATAGCCCTGTAGTCCTCCAGGTCGATTTCCTCCAACCGTGTGAACTCGACCATGCAGCGCGCGACGCCAGCGCCATTACTTCCCAGCGACGTTGACGAAGCATTTGGATTCCCATTGTGCTCGGTGGTGGAGGCGCTGTGTCGGAGGACGAGGGCGTGGGTTGAGGTAGCAAGTGCGATTGCGCGGTGCGGGTAGTCTTTGATCAGGACGCGGATAGACATTGTTGGTGGTAGGGGGGTGCGACGAGCGGCTCGACGGGCGCTTCGGGCATGTCCCACTTGCTCTACTTACGTGCAGCGGTGAAGAGTGCTTGCGCGCAAAGTATGTCGGTCGTGGCAAGTAAGCACGTGTACTTGGAGGATTGTTTTCAGCTCTGGGAACAATCTTGGTCTCAATGCTGATCGCAACCCTGGACTCATATGCACATGCGAAACCGCTCCGCTGGTGCCCAAGGCTTCCCTGGCCATCGCTTGCACCGGCAACCGAAAGCGGGTTTCCTGTGGCTAGGACTTTGTCTGCACCCAATACTTTGGCTCTCTGAAAGGGCGGCGTCCGGACGTGCGTTGGGCCACCGCCGTCATCCAGGAACCGCCTCAGCAATGACCTCACTCACAGCCACTAAAAGCTTTGGAACAAACCGGAGCATGTCATTAAATCGTAACAAGGCCACTACGTACTATGTGCAGATTCACAGTATCTGCCAAACAATTATTTTTCAACATCATTAACATGAGTGCGATTGAATCAGCCAGACGCGCCTTGCAAACAGGGTACTTCTCCCTCACGGTAGCATGGTAGAAGGCCCTGACAAGGTACCAATGATTACCGACCGTAGTCCCTCCTCCGCCTTCCGTCATTTTCTCCGATTGACACCCTCATGTTGGTGGTTTCTCTATAGCCTCCCCTCGAATCGTCGTAGCCAGCACGGCTGCGACTACGCTGTCTGCTCCGGTCTCGCGTCTGATATCTCTCGTAATGATCGCTCTCGCTCGATGCAGGCTCCACATATCGGTAGTGCTCGTAGCGTGGGTTGTCAGGGCTGTAAGCTCGTTGGCGTTCACGCCGGACCTCGCGCTCACGGTACACATATTCACTACGGTCATCAAGACTAGACGTATGGGAGGTGATGCTAGATCGCGGAGAGACCTCGACGTAGTGCGCGCCACCGTGATGGGAAGTATGATGAGACGAGATATGGCTTGGCGGCGGTGGTGGAGCAGGCATAGGCGCCGGTGGTGGTGGTGGAGGCGGAGAAGGCTGGACGAACACAGGCACCGGCTGCGGCGCGGGGATCTGAAGAGGTTTTGGCGATGGCACAGCAATATAGGATGACGAAGGCCGTGGAGGTGAGTCGCGAACAACCTCACTGCGCGAGTAGCGGCGTTCAATGTCGCGCGAATGTCGCGATACACGGCGACGGGGCGGAGAGCGGGCACGCTGCACCACGCGGTAAGGGACTATGTGGTCCTCTTCCTGCTTAACTTTGACAAGACACATGGCGCCTTTCTCGCTCTTCGCTATGCACTCCGCTGGCAGCGACGAGAGTCGAAAAGTAGGGAGCTTCGATTGCGATCGCAATGTGATTCGTGGGGGCCGATCAGCGTGGGGTTGCCCGATCGAAGACGCGGACGGAGCACAACACAACCCAAGCACGCGCAAACGAGGCAGATGGAGAAGCGGAAAAAGGACAGCAGAGCTTGAGGGTATCAACAGGAAGATTGGATAAGTATGCGCCCCAGATGTTGGGCAGCCGATGCCCAGCCACAGCTGACCCCCCATGTCGCTTTCATGCTGCTCCGCCTTGGAACGGGACATGTGAGTACATACGATGACGAGGTCTAGGCTCGTCTAAGTAACAACGGTGTGCTAGCGTGCAGGCTGCAGGCTAGCCCCAGGTACAAGCCACCACCACCACCATGCTTAACAGCCAAAGCGGAAAGTAAGTACAATCATATTTCCCGTGGCCGTATAGACTCGTGACAATCGTGCCGCATCCCGCGTACAAAGCACTACATGTTCCACCCACTTGCTATCTCAAATTATACATGAACCACCTAGATACCTCGACAAGCCTGCCTATCCTCTCCTCACGCACGTGTGAAATCTTTGGAGATTGCCGTCAGTAGGTCCGTCATACAACCTGCCCTGAAATTATCGGCCACGTATTCATGCAGTGCCCGAAGGCATGTCTTTTGCTGAGTCTGCAAGTGTGCCGCTGGGCATGACGGACGATAGAAATGGGAGGTACTCTCGTGTTGCCTTTATATATGTATGTACACATCAGAAGACAAGAACATGACTACCACTAGTCGTCCATGGGCTTGTCCTCCAGTGTAACGCCTCGAGGCGCCGTGTCTTCACTTCTGGTGCTGCCGGTCGAGTCCCTGTTGCCTCTCGTCAAGCTGCCAGCAGTCTTCCGGGGAAAAGGTACCCTGGTGCTTGAGGGCGCAGGGTGCTCGACAGGAGCAGCCTCAGAGGCACCATTTGTAGTAGCAGGAGCTATTTCGCCGGTAGAACTATCATCACTTCCGGGTACTTCAAGCGATCCACGGTTTCCATTGGCCTTTCGCGAATCAGTAGGTGATGACGTGTTGACTGGGAATCGTGTGGCACTTCGGTCTCGGCGATGAGATCCTGATACTCGCGAGCCAGGCGCTGGTGAGGTTGCCCGTGGTGATCGCTGAGCAGCGATGGCACGTTGCCGCTCCTCCATGTTTGCACGTCGGTTACTCTCATCTGTAGAGATTGCACGGGGGCGCTGAGCACCAGAGGATGAGTGTGTGAGTGTGCTGGCGCGCTTCAACTCTCCGAAAATCGCATCCTTGTGCGCAAACAGATCACGCACCAGGCGGTAACTGTATCGTTCATTCATAGTCAAACTTGACTCTTGCTTAGGCCTGAGGATGCATGGCGCGAGCGTATTGGCTAGTGCCGTGACGTACGTCTCATCAGCCGAGGTCAGCTCAATAAGACGGGTAAAGTGTGTGCAAATAGCATCCAGTGTGGCAATATTGGCAAGACGCAGTTGGCCAAGAGTTGACTGGATGACAGAGATCCTTGTCTCTTCAGAGACGTCGGTTGCAGTAGTGCTGTAAATGGTCTTGACAATTTCGTAAACATGGGAAGAAACCAATGAGTCTAGTGCAATCAGTAAAAGAGCCTATAATTGTCTCGTGGATTGCATACCAGGAAGTTCCAGGAGGTAGAGCTTGAGGACGCTGGCAACGATTGGCACGTCATACTTCTCAAGCAGGTCGTCGGGGAATCTTTTGCCAGTGTTGATCTCGGCTCTGAGAGTGTGAGTTTGGGACAGAGGTACGTCGACTAGCCAGATCCCCCGACGGGCTTCGTCGCCCTCGAGATCAGGGTAGTGGTTGTCCAAGAAAGTGAGTATGGTAGTGATGATTATTGGCACACGCTTCTTGTCCGAGCGCGCGCGAGCCTCCAAATCTACACCAAAGGTTTGCTCTGCATGATTGTCAGTATCTCATAAAAAGTGGAACTCGAAAGCGCCGTACCATCCACAGAGTTATAGTAGTTCTCATATGTCATCACTTTTGGCACAAATGGGCCTGTCCTGTAGTTCTCGAGCATGTACCGCAAATCACCCAGCGGCTGCACCGTTTCTTGGAAAAGCATCATCTTGTCCACTGTGCTTTGCAAGCTAGGGATGACGTTGCTGACGGCTCCAGAAAAGTCCAGGATAACCGCCTTGATAGCCTTGAGTCTGTCCAGCTCGCAGCGCTCCATGAACTTGAGATGGTCCACCATTGCCTCCTCCAAATTACACCTCAAGGAGTCGAGTTTCTTCACCGACGCCTTGTATCGCTCGTCAGCTTCACGAGCTTCTCGCCTCAATCTCTCTGCCGGTGTTTCATTCGGGTATTGGTTGTTGAGCGGATTCCATCCCTGCAGGTACTCTTGCACAGTTCCGACAGGAGTATCCACGGTAATGCTATCGACCGATGAGTTCGACATGGTAGTGGACGAGCGTGCCATGGGTTGCTTCTTCTCGGGCAATCCGGTAATCTGGAAAGCCTTGGTTTTCCACTGGTAGTTCATTCTAGAGCTGTTGGCGAACGTGTTGCCGACATTACCAACCAGGCGCAGGAAGCCATGGGCGACCATATCTTGGCCGATGCGCTCGGCATAGCTGACGGTAGTAGCACCCATGTGCTTTTGGATGTACTCGGTGATGTCGGCACCAGTTGAGCAATTCTGGTATGTACCCAGGATGGGAACTTTGACCTCGCCGAGCTTGATGTTGTCGAGCATATGTGTGAGGATCTTCTTGACTTGGTCGGGCTGGTATGTCTCATCGCCTAGATCGATGGGCTCCTCTTCCTCGTCCTCGGGCTCAGACATTTTAATAGTAGGCACCTTAACCTTTGGGCTGTGCGCAGCTTCACTCTGGGGGTCCTGGAAAGCGAGCTTGTCCTCCTCCTCGAGATCCTCGACTAGACGGCATTTGTTGTAGTATTGTGAGCGGAACTTGCGGACGGCATCGGCCTGGCGGTCGTGGATCTTGATACGCGATTGCAGGTCGTCTTGGGAGTTCTGGACACGGGCCGCGTGCGCCTCGCACCAGCGGCCAAAGGGATTCACAACCAGCTCTCGGATGTTGGACGCAATCTTCTTGTGATTTGCGGCAGCTGCCTCCATCTCGGTGCGCACGCCTTCATAGGCCTGGTGGGGGTTAGCGGTCAACGGTCAGCAGTCGGGCATAGGCAGCTGCTGTGTGATACGCACCTTTCGCACACTTGCGCCCTCATCTCTACTGAAGCCTCCGGCTATGCGCTCAGTGGCTGGTGTAATGGCGGCCAGCGAGTTTCCATAGACCTCTTCGGCATCGGCTCGCATGCGGGCAACGGTTAGAATCTGCTGGTTCTCCTGAACTCCCTGCTGGAGCTTTCCAAAGAGAACACCCAAGCCTGCAAGGTCAGCACAGGCGGGGCGGTGTTGGGAGCGGGCGTCAGGGCATACCTCCGGCATAGTCGCTAGACCAGAATGACGCAGCGAAGCCGGTACTCATGGCGGCAGCTTGCAAGCAGGCAGGACTCGACTGGTGGCTTCTCTTAAGGGAGGGGTTGTAAGAGAAAAGAAAATATTGGGTTGTTGGTGGGTGGTCGGTCAACGGCCGTAGTGAGCGTGGAGAAGATAGGCCTGGGGAACGAACACGCAAGCGCGGACCCGGTGATGTATGGCAGAAAGTTGCGCGGCCTCAGACGTTTCGGCGGCGTTTCTGCTGGCGGAGGGCCCAGGCAGAGAAAGAGTGACGACTAGAAGGGGCAAAGTGCGCGTGATGGGCGAGGACAGAAGCCAGGCTGAGTGAAGTTACATAGGATAATAGGGTACCACACAGCCGCCTCAGGAGGGGTTTTTGCAGGCCGGCCGCTGTGGCAGAGCTGATGTCGCATCCCACCCCTGCAGCCTTTGTTCGTGACAGGGCTGGCTCAGGCAGCCCAGCAGCCAAACAGCCTCTGCCCAGCCAGGGTTTTTGCCCGACATTTGGCCTTTAGTCGCCATGGCCAATGATAAAAATACGTACATACTCGTACAGTCGTCGTCAGTTGCCCGACTCCTAACGCTGCCCCTGCATCGGCTAGGGCCTGGTCAGCCCGTTGATGACTACCGTCCCAGTACGTACTACGTATGCAGCACTGGCACTGCCCTGCCCTACCGTGCCTACTAACAAGTACTGGTAGGGAGGGGACATGGTACACTAAGCACGTGCTCGTGCCTACATACATGGCTGCGTACATACAGTACTACGTACTCGCTAGCACCATCCACACCCCCCATCAGCCCCAACGCCACTACCACACCAACAACAACAACAACCACACCAGTACTACTTATTACTAGTCCAGTCTGCATCCAGCGCCTACTCGACAGTCAACTAATTAGTCCCGGGTGGTCTGTGTATGCTCCAACCGGCGTGTGTGTGTGAAAGAGTGTGAGAGTGTGCACGCTACCGGCCGAGTTTGGTGTTGCACTTGCCCTCTTGATCCTTCCCAGCCTTGCAGAAATACACACACCCACACACGCATCCGCCTTGGCTTGCAACCACAGCCCCGCAGCCATCAGATTCGCAGGCTGCACAGGGGCACCAGCACCTCGCTCGGTAAAAAGACGCCGGGTTCAACCCAGTACGTCTCCATCATGGCTCCTTCTGGCCCCGACAGTACACAATTCAACTATGCCCGCCACATCAAATACTGGCGCAGAAACCTCAAGACGCTGCTGCCCCATTTCTACACCAGCAATGACTCCAACCGCATGCTGCTCGCCCTCTTCACCGTCTCTGCCCTCGACATTCTGGGCGATCTAGATGCTGCCCTGTCCCCCGAGGAGCGTCAAGGGCACATCGATTGGGTCTATGGCTGTCAATTGCCAGAGGGCGGCTTCCGCCCATGGCCAGGGTCCAACTACGGCAAGCTCAGAAACGACGACAACAAAATCTGGGACCCTGCTCATATCCCGGGAACCTTCTTTGC